TATCCCTTTAATTTTTAACGGTCGGTTTTTCTCACGTTTGAAGTCAGAATTTAATTTTTTGCAGATAAATTTGATTAATTGTGCTCTTCAAAATGATATTCAGTTTGATTTTTTTATTTATGAATAAGGTGTTTATTCATCAAAAAAGAATGGTTAAGAATACCATTCTAACTGGTAACCAATCCACGAGTACAGAAAACCAATCCACAAGTACAGGCTGATTTTAGAATCTATACACAATGACAAACCAGGAATACAACAAGAACAAAAAAACAGACTTCAAACTATACAATTTATGTCAGCTTCTGTGATGGTTATGCCTACCTGAGGGAAACAATTCTCAGCAACAACAACAACTATTGCACTTTCTTCAGCCGCTGAGTTTCCATCAGTGACTCGTTAGCATATAACCGCCTGTATCTTTCCCTCCATAGCTCACTCACCACTACATTCCAGAGAAGCCTACCACAATCAGAAGCTGGGGAGGAAGCTTTGAATTGAGAAACAGCTAGCCTCAAACAATCTTCCCAACTGCATGCCTCCAGTTCGAACTTGTAATTTAAACACAGCCTGTAGGACCCTCTTTGAGTAGGGACAATAAAAAAACAAATGACTCCTTGCAGGGGTGGAGCCAGGATTTCGAGACCGGGGGGCCGAAAATAATTAAAAAAAATTATGTAAACAATTTGGATCAAACCTGTGTGCTTTCATTCACAAGTTAAGCTTGTCTACCATTAAACCACATAGCTATTATATGACACAATTTACTGAACAAGTTCTAGTTATAAACTTTGTACTAAATATCCTAAAAAACCTAGGGTCGGAACCAATCCCGGGGAGCCAGGGTCCACCCTAGCTACAATGTAACTCCGCCTCGGACTCCTTGATTCAGCAGCGGAGAGGCAAATGGGGCATTTGTTAACCACTAAGGGATTCCACACCTGAATCATATCAAGTGTAGTGATCCTATCGAGGATAATGAGCCATACAAGCAACTTGTCCCTTGGGGGACAGAGGGACCTCCACACCAGATTATACCACATGACCTTTGCATATCGAGGTCTGATTGTTTCCCAAACCCTCTTTACAAAAAAAATTACACTTAGATTTATTTAGGGAAAAAAAATTGAGATATTTATTACTAGACTATATCATATGATATTGATTGGTGTTAAATCAAAGCATACCAAATGGTAAGAACATACCAGATTGTAGGATGGTTGAATACATGATATTATAAATATACTAACTATCATTTACTAAATTCAACATTGTTTATCACCAATTACCTCCCTATACCAGGGTGGTATATGGGGTGCTATTTTATGGTCCTGTATCCCTCCCCAAAATTTGTAGATCCAATAAATCATGATGAACTCATTCCTTCTGTGCAAATAGTTTAAAAAACGACTTTAAACGAAGGTGTTACCAAATAGTATGGAGTTGGTGACAAGAGGTATGCAATTTTTTCCCCAAAAAATATTGGAAATTGATCTCATTTTGTAGATCACAACGAACTCGCTCCATGTGTGAAAATTTTTTTTTGAAATACAAGTTAGAACAAAGAAGATATGACCCAATTAAAAAAATAAGGAAAATGAAATGCCTTTAATTTCTAGCCATTAAATATGCAGGTAGGGGTGGAAATCGGTACGTTATCGGTATCCCAATACCAAATATCGAAATTCCAAATATCGAATTACACCCTAAAATCAATCACAATCCCAATCCCTAAATAATTTCGGTATCCCAATCACAATCTCTAAATATTTCGGTATCCCAATCGGTAGTATCAGATACAAAATTAATTACCTTTATAATTAATAATTAAATATGAAATTAGATTTTATTGTTTAATTTCGGACAAAAAGGCTAAGCAAAGAGCCCTGAGTTTGCCTAAAGCTGGGATATGTATAAAGGAAATGGAGGAGAGGTGACATCTCAAGTTCTTGTCATCTGTAATCTTTAATTTGACAAATACTATTGTTTGCTTTTTGGTGTTACGAAAATAACAAGAGATTAGGTGAGATACGAGAGTGGCTTAAATTAGAAAGTCAAATTTGAGTTGGATGGGGACTTCTAAGGTGTAAAATAGTTAAGGAATGATCTATGTATAATTAAATGACATTCTTGGTGGTTGAGGGTGTAACAACGAATGAGAGAGTCTAATTGAGAGAATTAAATACATTAGCTTATATTTCGGTATTGATCGGTACTTCGGTATATACCGATCTCAATCCCGTAATCTCTAATATCGAATAACAATTGAACTTCAATCTCAATCCCAATACCAAAAAATAATACGAACATTCGATAATACCAAATAAAGACAAATTCGGTACGGTATTCGATATCCTATCCTATCCTACAAACAATGTATAGAGGTTCCACGTGAGAACCCATATAATTGAATTTTTCCTAGCTTATGCGCATAGTTAGGGAGGATTCTCAGGTAATTTTGTTGGGTTTAAAAGATCCAAATTATTAACTAAAAAATGAATCGGTACTCCAACTGAAAAGAGTCATTCATTTCTAATTAATATGTTATATATATGGGGCGCTAGAGGAAAATCAAAAGTATATATATGTGGTTCAAGCTACACTACATCCGTCGCCTTTTGCTATTTAGGTCATGATTTAATCGAAGTTTGGAGCATAAAATTATACGCTAATATTTAATTGGTGAAACCCACTCTCTAATTTTCTAACCCAAATTATGAAATTCGTTTAATCTTAAAATAATAACCAATGATTTGATTCATCAAAATATAACAAAGTACAAATAATAGTTGTGAACGCAAGCATATAGCATATGCCAGGCATTCGCTAGCTTTTTCCATATATATATATATGAGATCATCTACTATACTTCAACTATTGGCGTTTGCAACCGGACTGATTATCCCTGCCCAATTCATTAAATTATAAATTTAATTTGCACAATAACATTAAAGTATAAATTCAATTTGTATCATAAAGTAATATATATGAAAATATATAGGTCAAACTGTACCATAATGTTTTTTTTACAAAGAATTGTACCATAATGTTATAGGTGCACGTTCAGCTTGCACTATAAATGAATTTGCATGAAAAAGTATAAAAATAAACTGAATTTTCCTATAACATTAAGGATATAAGTTCAATTTGTACATAGAATATTATTTTTGCATATGAAAGCACCAACTAGATGAAGCATTGTAAAATTCATCTATATATATATAGAATATATATTCAAATTATTATTATTAGCAGTTGTGTTTTATTGTATCCATTCAGCTAATTTTGAATATTGTTAGTTTATTAATATATTAGGTGTACAACCAACATGCATTTCCACTCCCTTATTAGTTTTCAATGAATCTTGATAATTTAAATTGTAATCTTTTAATTAAAAAAATCAAATTAATTATACTATACAAAATTATATCCATTTTTACATATTTGGAATAAAAAAATATATTAGTCTAGCATCATTTAACGTCATATATACAATAGAATTTATGGACTATCAATTCTTCTATAGCTGGACCTGATCTATGTGACAATTTCTAGCTAATCGTATCCCCGATCATCAAAATTTTGTTACATTGTTAAAAAAGTGGGTCCAACCTTGCTTATTGGACTTTTACTAAGCTTCAAATCTTCGTAAAGTTAACTTAGAATGATCATGATACCCCCACTTAATTTATGATTTATAAATTGAAAATAAAATCACCACATATTGAAAATGGCATTAAATGTTTAAAATTTGATTTAATTATAATAATTTTTAAAAATTACGCGGAATTTAGGTATTTTTTCAAAGTTTATTTAGGCTGACTAGGAAGCGACGTGGCTGGTTGACCATTAGTCAACGACCTTGACTGTCAAAACTAACATTCAACTATTGAATTTGGCCAAGTAAAGTGTAGGGTTAGTTCGGGCCACAATGTTAAATGCGAAAAGGATTGGCCAGAATGTTAAATATGAAAAAAGTTCGGGTCAGACAAATATATTAATCCTTAAGTTTATTAGAAGTTTATATACCCTTGCATGAGTTCTATCTTTTTAATTTCAACAAATCCACTGTTTACAATGTTAGTTATCGTTCTTATGGATGCTCATTTTATATTTTTCAAGCCATTGAAAAATTAGACTTTCTCAACGGTAAAACTTAAGAAACTATATTGTTATTTTGTAAATATGATACAATTGTTTGTTAATTCGCATGACATTTACATATAGTACAATCATGACACAAATGTAAAAGAACAAAATATTACCAAAATTTAAACTTTGAAGTTTTGTTAATTAGTGTTATCATATTGCAACCGGCCAACGGGCCGAGGTACAATCTAATATCACAAATATCGATACCAAACTTTCAGCACTATATGTACCCGCTTAAAAAGAAAAATTCAGATTTGATTATGCAAGTTAAGCACCGCAAGCTTACTCACCCTCCGGCCTCCACCATTCGTTTTTGTGTTTGAATTGCCAATTCGAGTTATCAAAAGGGGGTTTTTTTTTTTGACAGGTCAAAAGGGTTTTATTAATCCTCCACTCAGACGGATAATTCGAATTTCGAAGGCCTCTACTACTATAAAAAGTTGAGCGGCCAATCAATATTCGCGACATGCATGGAAACAAGTAAAAAGAAAACTTTAAAAGCCGCCGTGAAAGAAGGAAAAAGAACTTGGACCTATATCTTCATCGTATGAATGGATAGATACACAACTACCCAATAAGAAAAGACAAAAAGATACAGACGTATCTCTCCCCCCTTCTCACCCTCACGCCGCGTGGCGTTTGCCAATTGCCACCTCGCAGTACGGCCTCCACGTCTTCATCCACGTGTAACCATTTACCCCGGTTCCCCAAACCCCCGCCACCAGCAAACGATTTTTAAGTCTAGCCCACACTTTCCCCCAAAAATAAAATTTTCCATTATCCCATCAACTTTCCCTTTGCTTCACTTCTACTCTTAACTTGAAAATAAAAAATTTCGGCCGGAGATTATGCCGGACACTTCCGAATCCAGTACCACCCCGTTTTTCCCGTCGGCCACCGGCCCCGCCGCTAGGTTAGGTGACATAATTCTGTGGAGGCGCCCCCTATGGAGCGCGCTCGTCGTTACCGTCGCGACGGCGACTTGGGTTCTGTTCGACGTCTACAAATTCAACTTCGTCACCGTCGTGGCGTGGATCGGCATGGCGGTCGTCACTTCCCTCTACCTCTACGGCCACCTCGTCAGGCTTTTCCGGAAGTATAGTGAAGTTTTCCAAAGTTAATTAATTTCCTTTTCCCCTCACTCTCAAATCGTCCCCTTAGTGTAATTAAAAGTGCTGTTTTTTTTTTGGATGTTTAAAGGGAAGAGCCGGATCTGATGGACAGGCAATTCGTGAGGGAGAAGAGAGTGGTGGAGGCGGCCCGATCGGTTGGATCGGGGATCGAGCTAGCGGTCGGGTGCCTGGTCCGGATGAGCACGAATGGAGACTGGAGAGTGTTGACGCATCTCGTCGTTGAGCTCGGGTTTCTTGCCTACCTCGGGAGCTTGGTCGATTTCCTAACCTTGGTTTATTTAGGTGATTACACGGACCGACCGGTTCTCGATTCGAATCTCAAACCTTTTTAGCCACGGTCGAATTTGACCGTGGTTAATAGTATTAACCACAGTATCGTGAATATTAACCACCGTTTTAACGAACAATTGCTGTTTTTCCTCCCTTTCTTTTTGCGCTGTTCGATTGAAATTTCTTGGGTTGGGCAGGTGTTGTGATGGTGATGACGCTGCCTCTGGCGTACAAGACGAACGAGAGGAAGATATTGAACGCGGCGATGCAGGCGCAGAAGAAGGGAATGGAGTTTCTGTACATGGTGGATGAGAAAGTGGTAAGGAGACTGAAGGGGAAGGTGGTCGCCGTGGCCTCGATGAATGAGGATAACCACAGCAAAGATCAGAAGGAGGAGAAGGTTGAGTAGTATGCCATGATCGATGTAGTGTTGTTGTGATCTTATCTCGAATTAGACTATACATATTATGTATAGCTAGGTACGTAATTAGGGTTTTGTTGCGGGGATTGGTTTCAGGGGCAGTCGTTTAGTTATATGATGGTGTGTAAATATTAACGTGATGTTTGATCAAGACGAATCATGTGCAGAACATGGTTATGATACTTTATATCAGTTCTCCGAACAGAGGATCCTTGGCGCAATGGTAGCGCGTCTGACTCCAGATCAGAAGGTTGCGTGTTCGATTCACGTAGGGTTCACTTTTTCCTTCCTTTTTTGTTCATTATTTTTTTATTATTATAACATAATCACCTACAAACAACAGGGGAAATTGTAATATGCTCCATCCAATATATATAACTGCTACTTCAGCAATTTGACGCCTTGGCTATATACCGATCCTGATATCTTACAAAACAACAAAATAGAATAATATTTGGTAACACCTAAAATACATGTTATATTATCCTTGATAATTTAGGTGCTTTCATGTCATATTTGTTTGTGAACTGGTGCATTTGATCTTCTTATGGTTAAAACTTAAAATATTAGGGTTTAAGTAATTTAAGGGATAATAAGGCAAAATGAAGAAGATCACGATCGAGAACGTGATTTCAAGTTCAGGGTACAAATAAATGTTTACGATCGTAGTCTTTATTTTTCGAACTGTAAATTTTGATAACCTACTAGTGCCAAGAATATCGTAAGGTTCCACGGAATGACTCATGGCCTTTGCGAGAGACCACAAAACACAAGTTACATCCGCAACAATACATCATGATCGGGAACTTTCGATCATGATTTCCGAGCAAAATTAGGACATAACGATTTCACAGTGTGTTCATGTGACACTTCCTGTATTCATAGCTGTGAGTTGCCTCTAGAAAGGTCATGAACTTTTTCAGATTTTCAAATTCCATGAATAAGGGCAGGCCCCAAGAGAGAAAGAAGAGCATATTTTTACACAACATAAGTAGGAGTAGCAAGAGAAAGTTGGTGTGTTTCTTAGAGATGAAGAGAGCTCAAGAAGAAGAAAAGGAGGATGAGCTCAAAAGAAGATGAACACCCGCACCATGTTGCGGGCCAGTAATGAAGAATTAATGGAGACCCATTTTAATTTTAGAAGCGCATTACTCAACACTCAAATTATTCACTATTAGCCGCAACCCACAGCCCATATACCTATTTTACTATGTTTTTTTGCTCTTTAAACCAGGACCCTTGATTTCTTTATCTCACTTCCGTCTCTATGCTTCTCCTCCTAAGCGAAGACAAATTCCTACTTCTATTTTTTATTTTGAGTTCTTCTTTCTGTTTCTATTACTTCTTCTTCCTCACATGCATGATGTATTATCTTCAAGAATCATATAGCATATCAAAATCGTGTCAGGGAGCCTATTCACCTCTCCATTATGTGCATTCCTCTTTGTTCTTCTTTCCCTATCTACAAATTTGAGACCAAAACCTTATGAACGGGTACTTTTATTTCTAATTCTTCTAATCCCAACAAAATCGGTGATTGAAGTTTCATTCAATTCTTCTAATTAGTTTTACCTTGCATGCACACTTTCTCATCTCTACTGAGATTCAATCTTATAATAGTTATTTTACCTTGCATGCATTTCCTCCCAGTTGCATGACTGATTTGAGTAACGGGGCTGTCCAATTTTTTAGGGTTTAATCAAAATGAAAAGAAATCAGTTACTTGGGGTTGTTTCAAATAGTTGGTTTTGCTGCGGCTATTGCTTGATTTCGGTCTTCTAATTCTTTTATTCCATGCATAATCTTTCATCCCTTGTTCACATAATTTGATTCTAATGGGCAGCAGAACAAAAGGCCTCTTCCTCGAGAGATTTAGGGGTGGGAGTGGTAATTTATATGTCGATTCAATTCATCTTCAATTTTTATATAGCGTGAATTTCTTATTCCGGTTTAATTTCTCGTAAGGGTTGCTTCTATATTCCAGAAACCTTGGTAATCTAACTTCGAATCCCGCTCAACAATTCATTTTGGGCGGAGATTGGAGAAAGCGATTTATTTGAGCGAAAACAATGGTGGGCTGGAGACAACAGAAAAATTAGGAGTAGAAGACTTTGGCCCAATCCACCAGAAATCCCAAGTCCATGGGCTGAAACCCAGTGGGAAGAAAGTGAGTGTAGCTCACGCACGCTCACAAGAGAAAAATGGGAACGGATGCGCTAATTAACCGCTCTTAGGCAACAGTAATCATACTTTAGCTTTATATATATTAATTTTTTTTATGTTCCACTTTCTTCGTCTCTTTTCCTATTTAAGAGGTATTTGAGGCAAGATCCCCTTAACTCTCACTTAGTGTTTTGCTTGTAGTGCATGAGATGTTTGAATTATAGTGCTTATCTTGTTCAATTGACGTCCTTAATGCTTTGTTGCACGCGCATTTAGTTGCTTGTAATGTTGATTTAGCGGCTTAATCTAGAGTAGATAACCATTCATCAAAGTTAAGTAGAGACTTACTCAATTCATGCATCTTGGGTGATTACATTACCATTGACTCGTTTGGAGTGTGTAGTTATGGATGAACCCCATTTAAAGAGAATATGTCTCTTACCCCCCTTATTACAGAAGTCAATTATATGACCATTGAGTTTATGGAAATAGTTAGGAGGGGAATTGTGTAACATGTACCATTCCAGAAGTTGTCATATTAGCGATCCTCACACTTTGATATGTCAACCACTATACTACACCATCTAGCAAGATTATATTTGACCAAACTAGCTAGGTGTAGGAGTAGAAGCCTGGGAGTACGATGTTTGTCAACCGCTATACTACACTGCCTAGTGATTTTTTTTTTTTACAAATGATAATCATATACTAATTCAACAGAACAGGTAGTTACATTCTGGAATACAGTTAGACATAGAAATCAAAAAAGACCTAGTGAAATTATACTTGACCAAACTAGCTAAGTGTAGTAGTAGAACAATTAGCTAAGATTTAAGAATTCAGTTTTCTTATCTTATAAAAAAATAAGATAGGTACTACATATGGAGCAAAACAAATCAAGTAAACGAAGCAGCAAGACAGATAACCATGAATAGGCAATGAGGATCATTCTGATCGAATATTTCCTACATATCGATCGCAACTAAGAAACATTATTGACACCTAACAATATCTTGTATATGGCTGAACTCCCCAATGAAATTTGCTCGTATGTTGATATATACTAAGGAACGAAGAAGTTGCAGCAAATTAATTAATAACACCACATGCTAAATTAACACTGAATTAAAATATTGTGTTGCCTATGTTCTCTAGTAATGGTTTTGTAGTTTTCCATTATTACCTCAGGGAAAGAAACAATGGCTGTTTTTTTTATGATTTACAAATCTATTTATCGTGTAGATGAGAAAGAAATAAAGTATATTAATAAGTGGTATATATATGAACTAGCTTATACCCGACCCGTTGGTCGGAATAAATTTATCTTATTTGTGATTATTTCATGTAGAGGTGGCTATACGGTCCGGTCCGGTTAAATTGGCCCAAATTGATCCGGTCTAGTCCGGTTTTTTTGAAAATATAAGGACCGAAAATTGGATTGGATACAGTCCGGTCTTGATCCGGTCCGATCTTGATCCGGTCCGGTCCCAATTCGATCTTGATTTTATATTGAGATTGTGGGAATTTGAGTGGCCTAAAGCCTAAAAGGGTGAGGAGTTGGTTAAGTTTTGTACTAAGTGCAAAGGTTTGTGACCGTTTATGCAAATTACCCTTAAGTTTTGGGTGTAGAGCTCTCTTATCCGGTTTTTTTTACCTCAAATCTAAGCTCAAAGATTGGATTGGATTGTTTACTATCCGGTCCCGGTCCGGTCTCGGTCCGGGTTATACGGTCCGGTTTCCGGTTTTTCATCCGGTCCCGGTCCAAATAGCCAGCCCTAATTTCATGATAATCAATTTTTTTATATTTTCAAATAATTTGATTAATTCCCAATAGTTTATTAAAGTATCGAAAGTAATCTTTGTACTAATTTATAATTGTGACATTTATAATAATTAGTTCATTTTTATTTATCAAGATAAAGGTATGAACACAAAGGGTACTATATCTTTTAAAGTGTCTAAATGTGGGCCAACCAACTCGAACCAACCCGTAACCCATAACCCATGTGCTAGATCGCATCAACAGTTTGATATGGTCATCCTAGTGAACAACCTTGCTTAGTATAGATTTAGTTACCACCTAGACAACCATTAATATTAGGTTAATAGCAACACTTGCACCTCTATAATTGTTTTTTCTCAAACATGCCATTCACATCAAAGTTGCTATTCTAATATAACATAGGTAGCAAACTTGTCGTCCTATTAATATTTTTGACCCAAAACCGTCAATAATAGTTGGATCGGTCTGACCAAAGCAAAATAAGAAATGAAATGTCAAATATACTCCTCCCTCCTAACCCGTCCCTGGACATCACCACTACATCTCCTCCCCAAGCACACCGGGCACTATCGACGCTGCCACTGACCATTACCCTCCTTCCCAGAGCTTTTGGCCGCAGTCGACTTTGTGGCCATATATCTCTCCATCGACGTGGGGATCCAGAAGGGCCATGTCGTCCTTTTACTCTGTATTTTAGTTAGAGTAAAAAAGACTCAAGAAAGGGAATGCAATGAGAGCATAGTATTTCTTTTCCTCTATGTCTTCAAGATTTATACCGAGCCAAGTAAAAATGAGAAACAATTTCTCACGTTCACAAAAAGAATAAAGAGCTAGAGCTTAATGATTTAATATTATGTACCCGGACTGAAACTCTATAGCTCTGGCGAATTCGGCTTGAAATTATTTGTAAACAAATATTGATGCATCATAAAAATCTAATTGAAGCCTATTACAAAGCAAATCATAGAACTTAATTTGTTTGCAGATGATGCAGCCACTTTTTAGATATATATATATATATATATATATATATATATATATA